ATTGTAGCTCAAGCATATTAGCAACGGAGTGACAGTTAAGTTATTTTTCTACGTTCAAAGGAAACAGTTTGCTGTTTTCTTTGTACCATATGCCTGACTATATTATTAGACCTTGTTTGTTTCTGTCATTTTGCTGCAATTTTTGTTGATTTTATGTTTGATATCTAGGTTGGTCATGGTTATTCAGAAATTTACTGTATGTTGTGTATTCGGCAATATGCTTTTCTCTTTCCTTTATCCATCAAAACAGATTGAACATTTTTCAGACATATGCTGGGGCAAAAAGCCTGAGAGAATGTGCTTCTTGATCATTAGTTTCATTGCTAGCAAGCCGGTGAAATGAAGAGATCAAATATTGGGTAAAATATCCCATCTTTTAAAATTGGATTTGAAATTTTAAATAAAATCATTAATTTTTGAAATAAATATTCTAATTCAAAAAAATATTTTTCACTGAACACATAAATTTAATTAATAACGATCTCATTTATTTGATAATGTGATGATATAAAAATAATAATTTTACTTTTTATTATTTTTAAATAATATTATTATATAATTTTATTAATTAAAAAAATAAAAAAACATCGTTATGCTTCTTAATTTTTTTCCAAAAAAAATATGACAATAATTTTTTAAACTAATAAAAATATTTTAATTTTTTCTTATTCTTTATATAAAGTGTTTTACATTTTTTAAACAAAATTTATATTTCAAAAACTGATAAACTTATTTAAAATTTTAATTTAAACTTATTGGATGGAAATATTTTACCCTCAAATAATTGATGAGAAAGCTTGAATCTCACGATTTTGCTTGCCTAATGCCAGCCAATCAGACAAGTAAACTGTTAAAAGTTTCCGCATGACAAGACCAGCTATAAAATCAATTACTACAATTTGTAATATTCTCCATTTGGCCGCTGTTTATCTACTGGCAGATTACACCTAATTACCTAAGGATATTCAGGCCATTTGCCCATAAGAGTTATCACACCATACAAGTAACAACCAATCTTATGTTGGTTAAATTTCAACCTTTTTTTCTCTCAATGAAGAAAATGACAGCGTAAAAAAGCAACCAGCACAGTAAAATTTCACACAGTGAGGAACTCAGGCCTCACCAGAAAAGTGTTATTATGATCCACGATCCAGGCTCCAGTATACCATTAACTGATTAAATATATCTTGGGATATAACGATCATAAGTCACAACACCAAAATCATGAAGGAAGGAAGATATGTAAGTGTATCCATATAAAATTTTGTGAAAAAGCAGAGAATAGAAAATTAATCAGGACAAACTTCTGAATTGGAAAGCTCTTTCAACTGTCTGATAACAAAGGCAA